AGTCGTTCTACTATGGAAAATAGCGGACGGAAATAAAATATTTCCTTCTTAAATTATACTAATAAATCATAAAGAAATAAAATTATCTTCTATACTTTTTCGTAAAAAAAAATTTTTTAATTATTTTATTCTAAGAATACCATTTTTAGTTCTTATGTTACCTTATTTTGATTATGTTTACTTTATTTATTTTACTTTATTTTTGTTATATATGTTATATATGTTTTACTTTATTTATTAAGCACTTTTTAGCCGTTATTATTATATATTTCTTAGTTCTTGTTATTGTTATTATTCTACCTACTTTATTTTACTTTAATGTTCACTTAACTGCTTTATTTTACTTAAATTTTTTCTACCTATGCTGTATATGTTTCTCATACCTATTGTTATCTGGTTCTTTTCTCAATCCTGATGAAGGCTTGAACTTGGGGTCGAAACGTCGGCAAATGTTAAAATAAATATTATTATTTATCACTTCAACCCCCAAAAAAAATTAAATTTTTATATACGACCTTTTGCACTAACCGTAGCGATATGTCACAAAATAATATAAGGAATAGATTGATTTATAAATAATAATTTGTTAGATCAGTTGCTGCTCATATCCTCATTATGAAAGACGAAATACCGGATAAAAAGTTCCAGTTAATCCTGTTTTTGTTGTTAATATTACTTTTCATTGTCATAAAAGTGGTATTGATAAATAAGGTGTTCCGTTAAACAAATATTGAAAAGTTGAATAGAAATGATAAATATTTGAAAAAATACGTGAAAAAATAAAAGCAATTCATTAAAACTATTTGTTGAATAACAAATTAAAAATAATAAATTTACTTTGAACATTTTAAAAAGAAACAAATTAAAATTTCTTATAACCATATTCTCTATTGAAATTAAACCTTTAAATTAAAAAAAATACATTAAATTTCGAAAAAAGAAGATAATTCTGACGATAGAAATAAATTTCTTAAAACGACTTATTTTCTTTATTTTTTCTTGGATGCAGGATTCAAATTCTACAACATTTATGTTGAATTTGATTTCGAAAAATATTATTTACATAATTCTTTTATCTGAAGTTGTAAAATAATTAAAACAAAAAAAAAATATATATTATAGTTTGGATTAATTCTTTTTTTTATTTGAGCGAGGAATAACTATTGAAAATATATTTTGAATTAAATCAGGAAGAATCATTTGAGACGGAACAACCATCTCAATGTAGGGCATTCCATAATGTACAGAGCAAAATACATTACATTTATGTAGTTTAATAAAGCAGTATTTTATAGAAATGTAATGCATATTCGCTCGGGCATGTAAAATGGCTAATATGAATCGTTATACATATATTGGTCTGTTTAATAAACCATGAATTACTAGCGATTTACAATGATTTTATCCTTTGTAATGTTCACATTTATGATTGAAGATTAAATCAATATTGAATTATGATTTATTGATCTCAAGTAATTTTATGATTGATTGATCCCTTCACATTTATATCAATTTTAATCTGGTTGTTTATTTAAATAAAATATTACCACAGAGAGGGTATAAAAGCAGTTGTATCAGGAGGTAAAATTTAGCAAGCATTAAAAATTTGAGTGAAATTATTTTTAGTTTAAATTTAACTATTACATTTAGATCAGGTGAATAATAAATAAAATGGAAAAATAAAATAAATGAGTTAATGCCATCAATTCTTCATTTTCAGGTATATTATCTAAGATACTACTATAACACTCTTGAATTTTAATAGAGTATGGCAAGTTGAATAAATTGTGATAGGTCTCCATGGAATCAAGAAACGACAAAATGAATATCTCTGCTAAAATCCTGCTTCACATAAATTCGATTCAATTCAATATATATATATATATATATATATATATATATATATATATATATATATATATATATATATATATACACATTATAATGTAATGCTAATTACATCAATTTTTAAATTTGAATTTATTAGCAGCTTTAACTCTATAACTCAGGTCAAATTATCTGTCAAAATATGATTCAAGAGTGCACTGTCTGTGAAACCACAAATTGTCATAAAAATATTAGTGTTTTTTAATTTGAAAAAATAAAATTGAATATTCCTTCATAGATTTTATCGTCAGAATATAAGATCGGCATAATATAACAAAAAATGTTTTATCTGAACCGTACAAGTTCCCAAAGTATATATATCACAAACGATTAAAATATATTTTAAATATACTATTAAAATAAACAGATTTATTCTTCAGAGCGAAAAGAATAATTCACTCTTTTGAAATATTAATAGTAAAATATATCATGGGCTCAAACATTTTCTGTTTAATTTATAATTATTAAGTACTTTTCTGTTAGGAATGTAAACTTTTATTTTAGTAACAACCTAATAAAAATTCAAATCGATTGAAAAAAGACTAAATATGATGAAGTGTATTTTAGATTTATAATTTTAAAAAGTATGTTCAACAGACTTTTTTTCTAATCAATTTTATAGTTTTTTTTTTTTTTTAAATTTTGTTATTCCATTATTTTTCTTATTTCAGATATAAATGTATTAAATTAGATATATCTGTGAAATATAACAACACATATTTAATAATATTACAGATTTAGAATAAACTGTTAAAGAATTATTATAATAAAAATATCTAAATAAGCTAACCATTAATCAATGTAAAATAAATCTTTGTGTTCACTTAATGTTAATATCGGATTAAAAACATTGGAAATAAGAAAGAAAATGGATAGGTCTATTAATATAAAATAAAGGAGAAATCTTCAACCATTGCCGCCAGATGGCACCACTATGTTAACGTTTTACCTAGATGGCAGACATCCGTTCTGCCGACCTATAATTATCGAAGAGGCACTGTCCGGATGTAATCACTGTTACCAACGCGATAATAATTATTATTTCACTTTTATAATTTGATTTAATAGATATTTTTTATTATTAGGTTTTCATTTGAATAGCGAGAATCTTAACAGTCTATTAGTTATCTCTGTTTTATCCCGATAAACTCAACGTTAAAAATGAAAAAAAAAAAAAGATACGTTACTGATAGAAACTACGACACAATAGTTTTGGTAGTTTTGTAAAAAGGTATTTCAAATTTATCATTAATGTCATTTATAGGAAAATAATCGCTTTTCCAACTAAAAAATAAAGTATTACCTACACAATTTAACTATATCTTGCTAGCCATAATATATTCGATTTATTTATTTCTATTTTTAATTTTAAAAGTAATATTTTAAGATGGGGTAAAAAAATTTTACGCAATCCGATGTTTATTCATAACTTCAAAAGTGAATCTTATGCTGCAATCAGCTTAATAATGTAATGGTCAAAAAACTATTATTCTTTGTTAAAATTACAATAAAACATTCGAAATAGATATTGCTAGACAAGTCAAATAGATCATGGCAGAATTCTCTACTTCGCGGGACTCCAATCTCAGCAATTTCAGAGTTCTTGCACCGATTTTCATATAATTGATTGCGGAAATTCTTGACAATAAAAAATAGTTGACATAAAATATAACACCTGAAAAAAAACACATAGAAATTTAAGAAAATTTCTCTATTTTTCATAATTCAAATGTATATAATATAGTTTTATTTTAATTACTTAAACCGGAAAAGTTTAAATTAACTGTGATCCAATAATCCTGGAAAGTATTAGGAGTTATGTAACATTAAAATAAATTAGGATTTATATCAATATTAATATATTTATAATATAGGAAAATAAAATAATATCAAAATCCAATTGAGAGATGGACATAAAATGTATTTTATTATTTTTTTTAACGAAATGATTATGGAGAAAGCAAACAAATATTCAAATCTAAAAAATCGTTGATCAATATATATTCAATTTTAATAAAAATAAATTTGCTATGCCTCGACATCGTTAACAGTACAATACCGAAACGTAGTAATTCATACAATTTCAACGTGTATGACATTACACGACTTGTTTATAAAATTAATTGTCTGATTATTTATTTTTATTCGATTTTTTAAACCAATTTTATATTATCTAAACTATATAAAAATGTGAGGGAGAGGGGACTCTTCATAAATTTAATAGTTAAATTAAAATATTTATTTTCTATTTTTTTGTTTTATTATTTTTTAGATCGGAAAAATTATATTATTTTTTGTTTTTAATAATGAAAACAAAATTAATAAAGGTCTTTAATAATTTATTAATTTGGTTTATAAGACCTATGATTTTTCTATTTTATATTCAAAGTCTATGCTTGTTAAATGCACTAAAATAATATTTAAGTATTTATTATTGAACAAGCTTATACTAACACTAGATTATAAGGAGGGTGGCAAAGTATTGCCGAAAAGAACAAATACAAATTATAAAGAATAACACTATAAATTAAGAGTACTTGTTTATCAAATTGGCACTCAGAAGTGAGCAAGTAGGGAGAGGATAAATTTTTTTTATTTTATTTAGACTTGATTTTCAAACTTATATATTTAATTGAAAAAAAAACATCATAAAACAATAATTGGAAAAGGTGATTTAATGACGTTAAACACCATTGATAATCGAAAGCGATTTCGGATTTGAACGATTTAGAGTGTTAGGAGGATTACAACCAATTATTAAATATTTTTATTATTTATCATTTTTAAAGGAATTATTCATAAAATGAGCCTTCTTTTCGATGATTAAATCTCGTGTTTATTTATGATGTGTATCGGTTTGAAACGATTATCTTGATAATGGTTCACCGGTTCTACAGCGTTCAAATCTCCGGTCGTTCGTTACCGTTCGGAATAATTCGATCTTTTTTTTTTTTAGCCTTCCGACATATGTCAATCCAATTCACTTGAAAAATCTTTGACCCAAGGCCTTCGCGGACGTATCAGTATCCAATCCTGCCGGTACGTCCCTCCGGTGACACCTCGATGGAAGACGGCATGCACACACTAAGACTGTAGGTAAGGAACACTGGTACCTTGTACAGATACTGGTCGAACATCCTGCAGACATCCATGTCGGATCCGATGCAGTAGGTGGCCTCCATAGCTTGCACAAACAGGTGGTCGGGGGCCGCGGGTTAGTTTCTCTACTGAGAGTTGTTGATGTTGCGGCGGCACTGGGGGGAGTGCGGCCGCCGGGTTCCCCCACCACGGCCTCGCTCTGTGGGGAGGGGGGGGGAGCGGGCTCGTGTCAATCACTCTCAGCGAATTTCCGCGGAATAGGTACATTTTAAACCCCTTTTATTGTCATTACTCTAAAAGTTTATTTTTATTATTAAAAAGAGCAAACATCTCCATTGAATAACGAAGACATTAATTAATGAATGGCGGATTCCCTCTCTATATATTGAAACCATTGAATTAAGATCTCGTAATCAGAAGGCAGTTGACACTTCCAACAAATTGGGGAGTTTTCAGAAAACTTATAACTGGTTGCTAGACTCAACCAGAATCAAATTTTACATTCTGGTTGTAGGTGGGTTTTTTTCTACACTGGTGTAGAAAAAAAAGTTGCTGAGCAAAATGTGGAACAGTTTTCTGGATTTGCGAACTTATTATTTGGAATATTAAAAAAATAACCAGAACGTCCTAATATTATTTACTAAAAACTGAACGAGTATATTATATCAAAACTCAGACCGCGGTGAATAGGTATTAGTTAGCTGTTTCTTAAAGTGCTTCATTAACATTATATCTGGATTAATCACGAATTTTCTTACTTGTCAATGGTAATCTTAGCTAATGGTATAAACACATTTCATGTCATAATTTCAATCTTCATTTACGACTTTTGTTCCGCTAGATTCTCCACTGTGTGCAGTTTCGGGCCAATTCGGTCCACTATCAGGTTCACAATAAGTGATAGAGGAGATCGTATGACATTGACATTGTATGACACCTCGCCTGGTGCTGGTCAACAAGGTTGTGACGAAAAATCGGCTTTTAAAATAAAAACTGAACTACTCTTAAGTTTTTTTTTTTCAAGTCACTTAGACTAAAAAACAGAATAATATGCAATCCTTAAGATCTATAATAAATGAGGTTCAATTATGGCTAGTTAAATTCACGTGTTGTAAAGCTGAGTACTATAGCTTTTGTGAGCAAAAGCAATACACGGCGAATTAAGGATACCTGGTAACGAATTTGTTCTAGATATAAATAGCTGCAAAACGAATGTATGATTAACATCAGAAACGCTAGTCGTTTTACAGATGTAAATAGTTCTAATATAGAACTAAAACAGAGTTGAATATTTACAGACTTTTATGAAAATATAATTTAATATGTGTTCCAAAAGCCTAACTCAGATAACACAAAAAGTTTTATTTATTTATTTGTTTTTACTGCTAAGCTTAGTAATTGACATTAATATCTGGTAAAACAACAGCAAAATGTGTAATACTATGGAAAAAGAGACACTTTATCATGTATTATTTAAATATCAAAAACACAATAGTTTAAGAGTAAGAATTTACCACGAAAATCCCATAGAAAATCTTGAAGGGATGGAGATATTTGAGCCAACCACTGTAGAGATGTGAAAAAATTATATTTTATCATTTCTAATATATCAAATTAGAGAATCGGGGGGATAATCTGGAACATTATTTCTTCTGAAGTTCATTTGAAGTTTTCTTCTTGCAGCATTATTTAGAACATAAAATCATGATATCATGATATGATATGATCATATCAATTAGCGAACAATGGATTTGTGAGAACCCTGGTTAATGATTTTTTTTTGTGCTAATATTACTTTAAAAAGAAAGAACCCCAGACAAATAGAATCTATTTTTGTATATCAAACATTATTACTCTTATGGTATTAAAAATATACTTTTTTTTTTCATTTTTATACTACATCACAATATTAGAATCATCTTACTACAAGAATCACTTTAAAAAAATTTGGTAAAAGTGAGACAGTTAAAATAACGCTAATGATTAACAATTATAAAAAATCTAAAAGTCCCATCAAATTAAATACACAATACATTTTATTTTTAAAAATTAATAATAAACTATCTTTTAAAATTCAATTAAAAGATTACTGGGATGCACAAAGAAAACAAACAATCATGTTTTTCCCTCCAACTATAGAGTTTGATAAAGTACTTACCTAATTTGATAACAAAACGAAATAAATATATTTTCGCCTCCACAAGTGATATCATACTGTATTATTCTTGAACATAATAATAATATAAGTCTATGAGAACTAAAAATGGATCCATGTTTAACAAAAATTAACTTTAACCAGAGTTCTCACAAATCCATTGTTTGCTCATTGATATGATCTATGAAATAATCATGATTTTATGTTCTAAATAATGCTGCTAGAAGAAAACTTCAGAAGAAATAATGTTGTAAGAGATAAAGTGTCTCTTTTTTCATAGTATTACTCATTTTGCTGTTGTTTTACCAGACATTAATGTCAATTACTAAGCTTAGCACTAAAAGCAAAAAAAAAAAAAACTTTTTTTTATGAAAAATGTTCACTATAATTTATTACATTCGAACCACGGTATGGAATAAGCCTACTCTTATTACCATTTTCTTCAAATCTTATTCTTCGAAAATTTCGCTATTATTTGGTTTAAATTTAACATTCGGGCGCTTACATTTTCAATCCTTAAACTCAGATTGCATAGCCTCGGTCTGAGATTCTCAAACTAGGTACCGCAAACGTATACCATGTGGTGGCAAGAATGTAATATTTAAAATTTCAATATTTAATATTTCTGGTAACAATTATTTTACCATTATTTGTTATTTGGTAAATAAAAATATTAAAAAATTAATAAATTCAAACATTGGAAAAAACACTGTAGAGGTGGTAAGTGGTTGTCTTAAACGATTACGAACGGAAATATCACTAATAATAAACTAATATTATTAGCTCTATATTTTTATTTACCATCAATATATATTTCTTTGTAGAATAATGTGGTATATAAATAAAGTATATTTATTTTAATTTTTCGATTCATTTTTCTATATCTTAAATTATTAGGTAATTTTAGACTGTTTTATATGTTCTTATAAGATCAGGATTTTTTTTATCATTGGCAGTCTCTATTATATTTTACAACTTTATTAGAAGAGTACCTTTCGGTGTCCGTGCACCATATCCATCTCTATAATTGTAACGCATCAAATAGGACGCATTAATAATATAATTAATAGCATTAACAATTCATGTATCACATAATTTTCTAATTGTTACCGTTACCGCTTTATCAAACCATGCAAAAAGTATAGACATGAAATAGATTTAGAAAATACTAAAATACTTCATAGATCAAAGCAAAAAAAAATAGTATACATTTATATAGCAATAAACCAAAAAAATATGCTGATTCAAAACAGGAAGCGGCCCACATCCCACAACACTATTCAGATATAATAACTATTCATCAAATTTTTAATAATAATGAATTAAGTAAGGTAGAGTAAGTTGCCAAATAATTGCGATAATATAAAGCGTGTTGACATTAATTCCTCAGCACTCAGTAAGATGGTGTCCGACAAAGAGGAGTCCTGTTCTTGGAGAAGTCAGTATGTAAAAAGTTTACTAAATTATTTATTAATTTATTTATGTCCAGTAAGGTGCCCACTAAGAGGACTCGGTCAGACGGCGTTAGTACTCCTCGTGATTCACCAGCGAAACAAAGAACTCGTCGCTGCCTACGAGAAATACCTCCAGTGACCAAAATGAACACTTCAGAACCAGAACCTCAGCCCCAACCAGGTACGTCTGCACAAGAAACGATTGAAGAATCACCTTTCTTTACTCCAAACCCCTACCAAGTGCTTCAAAATGACAGAGAAGTAATGGAGTCTGCAGCAATACCCAGAGAACCAAAGCCTCCTCCGATATTTGTGAAAAATATAAAAAATTTCCAGATGTTCTGCACCCAACTAAATAAAATCTGCTCTGGCAGTTATTCATGCCTTAACAGGACCAATGACACCAAAATAACACCTGATTCTGCAGAAGCCTACCGAAAAATAGTGAAGTACTTATCAGAAACAAATGCGAATTTTCACACTTACCAGCTGAGGCAGGAAAGAGCTTTACGAGTGGTGATAAGAAATTTACATTCCTCAACCCCCACTGAAGTTATTAAAGAAGAACTAACGACGCTTGGTTTCAATGTACGCCAGGTAACAAACGTTTTGAAGGAGGACAGGGAGCAACCAGGATTACGAAATAGGATCCCACTACCATTGTTTTTCGTGGACTTGGAGCCATCACCAGGTATCGAAAAAATATATGATATCACAAGAATATACTACACAATGGTGAAAGTTGAGAAGCCATATCCCAAGAGAGACATCGTGCAGTGCCATAATTGTCAGACCTATGGCCACACGAAGACATATTGCCACCATCTGCCGCGTTGCGTGAAGTGCGGTGAACAGCACAAATCTGTAGAGTGCACCAAACCTATACAAGATCCAGCAGTTTGTGCCCTATGCTTGGAGGGACACCCGGCCAACTACAAAGGCTGCCAAATTTACAAGAATCTCAAAACCAGACACCAGAAAAACCGGATTCAAGATGAAGCACTAAGAACAAGAAGAGAGAGAGAGCCTTCCAGAATTGTAAACAATGATGTATCATTCTCCCAACTACTTAGAGGTAAGACTTTAACCGATAAATGTCAAGCCCTGCCACAACAACAACCTCAAACCCAACCTCAAAATCCTCTTCATCCTAATATACCTAACCACCAACAACAAATTCCTCATATTCCTCCTCCTTCAAATGCAACAGATCTCACAAGTTTGTTAGCATCTTTCCTCACCGATTTCAAATCCCTTGTTACACCACTCATATCACTCCTCACGAATCTCGTATCTCACCTCATCCCTCCTTTGAAAAATCCTTAAATGACTCACATCCCTAAACCCATATCCATTCTCCTTTGGAATGCGAATGGTGTTAGAAATCATACAGACGAACTATCTACTTTACTACTTGACAAGAACATTGATGTGGCACTAATTACTGAAACTCGACTAACCACTAAACAGCACTTCAATATACCACAATACCTGACATATCGTACTGACCACCCTGACGGAAAAGCACATGCCGGTACTGC